GATTAGACACCCTTTTCTTTTTTTGACTTAACTTTCCACAGTGGGATTCTTTTTTCTTTTCTTTTCTTTTCTTTTTTTTTTTTTTTTTAGAATTCTAGAAAAACTAACTGCTTTGTTTACAAAGTATTCCCAAGTCTCTCTGGCTGTGTGTGCTGTTCATCTGGACAGTACTTGAAGGAGCCTTAGCATGGGGCAGGGCACAAACAGCCAAGGCCACGTGGGGACAAATCCAGTCTGCAGTCTCTCTGGTCCTCTAAACTGGGGGGGGGGTAAGCACCACCATGTTGGTCCACGACACACAGAGAGACCACATGATAATTCCAGTAATGGACTCCAAATGGTGCCTGCCCCCTCCTGGGTAGAAATTTTTTTCAGCACCTAATAGAAATGGATAGTTTCATTCATTTAAGCTACTTGTTTGCAGGTATTCATAGAGGGCATAGGCAAAACAGAGGAAAGGAAGAGAAGAAAAGGGAAATCCAGGGCTGTGTCTCGACACAAAAGGAAAAAGGACGCAGAGAGAAGGGAGACAGGAGAGCTCAGCATGCAGGCACACCATCAGCAACTGCCTTATTTGCTGGCACCCACTTGTCACCCTGGGAAGAACCAGCAATGACTGTATGAGTATTACTACGCACACATTCCACGAGGCCAGGCACAGGGCCGAAAGTAAGAAAGAACCTTCTTAACCTGATGGGCCAATATCTGATACTGGACCCAATGAATGTAGGGAAATGCCATGAATCGTTTTCCACATTCCATAGACAAAAGGGTCTGTTCCACATTGTACCTCCATCTTTAAGGCTGGCACTACCCACAGAAGACATTTTTTTTTTTTTTTATAGAACACCACCTAAACGAGAGACTCTGTGGACAGTTGTGCAGTGCACAACTTCAGAAAAGCACAAAAACACCAGAGAACTGTGGGGGAGACACTGGGATTCACATTCTCTCTTTAAGGGTCTGGTTAAGGCTGTCCTTGATGGGAGGCCCTTCCCTAATCTCAGCACCAGATTTTCTTTCTTTTCTTTTTCATTTTCACCACTCTCATCCTTATCTTCTTCAGTGCCCACTCTCCTTCCCAACTAACATACAAAATGTGTTGGACTTATGAATTTCTTGTTTGTTTAACTCAACAGAACAGGATATCAGAGGTCACTGTTCTGTGGGCTTTATTCTCTCTAGACACATCGCACGCTAGCGCTCTGTCTGGTAGATGCTCAATGAAGTATCTTAAATCCCCAGTCGCACTGTTAAGAGAATGGGGGCTTGGCTTTCATGAGCACCTGTGGTTCCCCTGCCACATCTCACAACTGCTTTGCCTTGCTGTCCCAGAAGTACAGCCAGGTTTTCAGCCTCATGATATAATTTATATGGCCCATAGGTCTTCACAAAATTGCTGTATGGTCCTACAGCTACACAACTGGATGCAAAATTAAAATGGAGAATAACCTGTATTAACACACTTGGCGTAACCACAGAAAGAAACACACATGCCCGGGTCTGCGATTTCCGAAGTTGATTGTTCTTCATTTCACAGTGCTCACACCTCCTGTTACAAATGCCACACGTGTGATTTTTCTCTCAATTATGTTTTATAGCTTATAAAAACACTTTCTTCATTTTGTCAGTTGAAAAGCAAAGTAGTCAGATTTTACTGGATGTTTTTATTAAAACAAAACCCAAGGGAAATATAAACGTTAAACAATTTAACACAGCTGAAGAAATATCTGAGCAGGGGCTTTCTGATGGAAGGGCAGATTACAAAGTCACTCCAGCTCCTAATCTGATAATGGGGCAGAAGACCCCACACATATGAATGAAATCGTTTTCTAAAGTCTTTTACAAAGAGAGAAAGTAAAAGGAAATTGAGAGGGGTATAGGAGAGAGAGAGTGGGAGGAAGAGAGGGGGAGAAAGGCAGAGGAGGGGGAAGAGGAGAGGGAGAGAAAAGGAGTGTGTGTGTGTGTGTGTGTGTGTGTGTGTGTGTGTGTGTGTGAGAGAGAGAGAGAGAGATCAGGGGCTTAGAAATATTATACTCATCTTGGTGTCTAACCCGTATCTCAGTAGAAGATTTTGCATGAGCTAAGCTCTGTTAATGGCTGGGAATGGGATGGCTGAGAAGCACAAAGTGAGGTTCAAGCCAGCTCCTTAGTCTACAGTGTGGAACTGTGAAGCCTTAAGGATGAGCTGTGCTCAGCTTGGAAGATATGAAGAATTAAATAAGCAGAAGCAGCTTAGGCCTGTTAAGGTCTTTATGTTGCAGTCTTCAACAAATGAGATGATCGAGCTTCTTCTTCACATAACGTTTCCTTAATAATTTTGGATTCAAGCTCTATTTCGTATGTGTAATATCTGTCTACACAATTAGACCGTAAATTTCTCAAGGGCATTTTATTTCCCTCCCCCACATTTAGATATTCTACAAGAACCAGCACAGATAATGCTCACAGTAAACTTCTTTGCTATTTTTGGTAAGAAAAATGTGAGTTTAGTTGTGAATCAGTATGTGTTAAGAACTCATAATCAAAATGATTCCAAACTGGCGTTGGCCACTGTATCTACTGCATATTATTGAGAGTTGCATGTTATTTTGCACTGAGAAAAAAGTCATGAGACTCTGTCCTGAAGGCTCAGTATCTGACAAGAGTTGCAACATGCACCTGTCAGGAAAAGGAAACTACTCCCCTTACACTTGAGTCTCTGCCTTCACTTCGTCCCTTAAGGGAAAATGATAAGGACTTTGGGTGCTCCAGGCACAAACATAATAGGCTGAAGGATATCACAGGGAGTCTGGAGAAACAACTCAGTGTTTATAAGCACTCATCGCTCTACCAGAGGATGCGGGCTGCGTCCTCTGTACCCGCATCTACCCACCGCACTCAACAACTGTCTGGAGCTCCAGTTCCGGGAGATCTGATGCTCTCTTCTGGCCTCTATGGGCACCAGGCACACACATGCACACAGACAAAACACCCGTGCACAATTCTATCCCCAAGGGATAGGGAAAGAAGTATGGATGGCTTTGACGACACGGAGGCGAACATCAGTGAAGAATAAACCAGAAAACTGTATGAAATGGGAGTCAAGCCAAGGAATGGAGATGAGGAGCAAAGGGGTACGGAAAAGGGAAGGGATCTGGAGGCATGATTAGCCATGCCTGACCATGGGTGTGAGAGCACATAGTAGCACCTGGACAGTCACACAAAGCGCAAGCCTTTCTGAGAAAACTGCATCTGAGAAAACCTTCACCTGAGGTTACTGCACACACTTGTAAGAGAAAATCAGATTAGCTCTATTTCAAACTGTTTATTTCTCTCAACAGCTCTGGAAATTGACCTTTAAAAATATATTTCTAAGTGCAGTCTTCATTAGAATATTTTTTTTGAAAAGTTGAAGATAAACACGTGTCACTGTTCACATGGTCTTAGAAGTCATAAATTGTAGGTATTTGCCTTCTTGAGAAAATTGTTATTTTCCTCTCATTCTAGACTTAAAGTAACACAAATGTTAAACTTTCATATTCACTGCCTGTCGATATTTTCACGTTTTTATTTTGCAGACAAGGCTTTCCCTCGGATTCTCAAAGCCATAACGCGCCCCAAGTGTAAAGGCCCTGTTGCAAATGATCAGGAACAAAGGCAGTAGTTGCCTGAGCATCCTGGACACATGATAAATCCATCTTGTTTACAGCGGAGTACGGGTAAGTTAATAACTATTGACTAACGCACTGGTGAGTTTGGAAACTGACCACAACGTTTTAAGCACCTATTACACTTTGTCGGAACACGTTTTTGGAACCCTAAGCTTTCTTATTGAAGGTGTACAGCGCACTTGTGTGTTTTTATCTGTTCAGATGAGATAAGCCTTGGCTAATGGCAGAGACCACAGCACCTCATTTCTGTTCCACAATGGAACTTTACACTTGAGAACAAAGCCAGGTAAGCTTCCAGCTGGAGAGAAAAGCTATACACCTGTAAATAATCCAGGCGATATTAACACTGTTCCCATAAAAACACAATTTATATCCCAGTAGCAAAGGGAAATGCCATGTACATCATTTTCAGATCATCTTCATGCAGAAGAAATTCATTAGTCAGCTATAATAGTTGAGCTGTAAAGGAAAATAATGTTCTTCTGAATCCATTTGCATGGCAATGTGTGTGTGGCTGGCTTTTGGAAGCGACAGAATAAACCTCCACCCAATGCTGCAAAATGCAAACAGTCTTCTTAAAATTCCGTCTATATTCTCTCCAGTTACAGCTTTTACCATCTCCTCACAGTCATGGACCATTTTAACTTGGCAATTAGAGCCTCCTGATTATTTTGCCTAAGAAAGTTGACAGTATTTCATTCTGCCCCAGAGCTGCTTTGAACACAAGCCTGTGATAAGGGACAAGCATTCATGCGTGAGCCCCTAGAACCCTTGCCAACTGCCAAATTAGCAAATGGCTCTTCTAAACATAAAAGGTAGGAAACGGGAAACCGCAGTTTGGAGTAAATTCTGCATTGTACTTTCATTGGTGTTTTAATAATTATACTGGTACTAGCCAGACTGCCTGACCTCTGGTTATAATGTATTTCACCTCTACTGAGTCCCAGCAAAAAGATAAAGTAGGATCGAAAATGATGGATCACACAGTCTTCGTGTTTGCCAGGAATAAAAAATTCAGACCATCCCAGAAACACCTGCCCCTGGGAAAGACCCAAGCAAGCAGATAAAGCAGGGCTGGGAACAAGGAAATAGCTGGGCTCAAACCTTGCCTGCATCACCCTGGACAGGGTGACCGATCCCTTTTGTAAGGGCTGAGTCAGACCCCTACGGTGAAACTTGCAGAGCCACACCAGCCCTAGAGCACCCAATGCTCCCAGCGCCCCTGAGTCACACAGGTGGCCACCAACAACGCTCTCCTAAAGCGACAAGCTCAATCCTAGTTTGCACCACCCCCTACCCAATCCCTTCAGTTCCCGAAGCCCCTTCGCCCCCCGAGCTCGCACCCACCTCGGTGTTCTTGCCCTCCGGAGCGGCAGCCAGTTCCCTTAGTGGAACAAAGAAAGCAGAGGTGCCGAGAGAGGGTGGGTGCGGGCTGGACGCGGCTGGAGTTTGTACCTTGCGGTGCCCGGAGCGCGCGGCGGCGAAGTCAGCCGGCCGGGACCACCCGCGCGCTCCGCCCTTCTCCGGCGAGTCAGCGGCCGCGCGGCATCTGGCTCTGCACCAGGTCAGCCGGGGCTCGGGAGCAGCGGACGGCGGCGAGGCCGTCCGGGTCACCTGCGGCCCGGGCCGAACCCCGCCGAGCGCCCTCGGACTGCTCCGCCCCTTCCCACACGCGCCCTGCCCGGCCCGTGACTCAGCCGGGCATCGGCGGCGCCCGGGCGCGTCCGGGCTGGAGGCGATGAGATCTAGGCACCCGCCCCAGCACGTGTCTCTCCCGTCCCTGTCGCTCTAGGTCGGTCCCACCGGTCCCTCCGGGGGGCCGAGGTGGCGACTCGCACCACCCTGGTCCGGTTGGTGGCGGTGGCGAGGGGCGTCCCCGCCGTCCCCGCCTTCCCTGCAGCCCGTAAGCCTAGCCCGGGGGAGGGGGGGTCGCGCTTCCTCAAGCCCCGCCCACCCCCGCCCCCGCCAAGGTGAAACTTTCTAGGTGGAGGCGAAGTTTCCCTCGCCGGGGGCCAGGCGCTTCCTCCTCCTTCCCGGCTGGGGAGTCTGGAGCGGGCGCCCGGGGAGCTCAGCGGCCCCGAGTCTCCCCCTCCTGGTGCTCCCGCGGCGAATGTCACCCGCGCCGAGCGCACGCACCCCCGGCGCGCCCGGGCGCTGCAGCCTCTCCCACGACCGCGGCGGCGGCCCAGCGCTCACCCGCGTGGACAGAGATCCTCTCCCCGCCGAAAACCGGGGGCTCATTGTCACCGACGCTGGTGGGGGTGCGCGGACGGAGCGTCCCGGTGACTGCATTTTGCAGCCATTATCCCCTGCAATAATAACTCGGGTTTCTGGAGGAACCCCAGGAGTTTTAAGCCAGCAGAGGCTTCCGTTTAACTTTCACTTTTTCTCATGGCCGGACACAGAGTGATTAAATAGACAAATGGACACAAGCTGATTAAATGGACAAATGGCGATTAACAAAACCAACTCCTAAGTTCAAGTCCCGGATATCTAACACCCAGATGTTTGGAAAAGGTTTGGGGCAGCGCTTAACTTGTGAAGATTCATCTGTTAGGATCGTTTCTGAAACTTCACATTTACCTACCAGGGTACAGCAAGGTGAGCAGATCTAAGGAATCCATTGCCTTTGGAACTCGAGTTCTTTCCGACTGTCCTAAGCGCTGATTTGCTAAGGGAAACAGAGGTGTCTGCTGCTTACGGAGAGTCTTTCCACTGACTGGCATGTGCAGGTGCGGGCGGCCCTACTACGCACAGAGTGGAGAGTAGGAAAGCAGCACTTCCTGGGCTCAGACAGTTCCCATTAACGCTCTGTGTGCTTGGTACGTTACCAGACACCAGACAGAGCTATTTCAGTCCCCGGAGCTGTTTACCTCACCGCTCTTCAGTTTGATGGAAAAGGAAAGTTCCTATTACATTTTTGGACTCCTGCGTGGAATCGTTTTGCAGATGCATAAAACAGTCCCAACGAATTCTTAGGAAGGCCACATAGCTGGTATTGAGAGCCAGAGTTAGAACCCAGTTCTCAAACCTCCTTCAAGGGTCTCCACTCTGTCCAGTGGCTGCAGCCAGGCAAGCTTGATTTAACACGGCCCTTCCAAATACTGTGTCATTAATGAAGGCTGGAGCTCATTCTAAAACATTTTGGTGTTGGTGGTTATAGGGTATGCGGCCTTAAAAAGGCCATCTCGATTAACTTTAAAGTTTCTAACATCTTTCAACTGAGGGTAAATAGATTAATTTTACACACACACACACACACAAACACACCATGGTTGTCTAAATGAATGATTAGAGTGTTGTTTCTATTTCCTGGTTTCCATAGCAATATGTTAACTGGATTTTTTATATCACACATTGTTGCCTTAACAGGTTTTCTTAGTTTGAGTGCTATGATAAAAATAGAAAAACAGAACAACAACAATAAAAACAATTAAAGTTGGATAAAGTCTCAAGAAAAAAAAGGCAGTACAAACAAACTGAAAAGTAGATTACACATGCAAGAAATCTATTATATGTTTTTAGAATTGAATTTTCCTGGTTTTTACTCAAAGACAAATTTCAGTTCAGTTTTTAAGATGAATTGATATATTAACCATAAACCAGAAAGTAATAGTTTATAAAGCTAGCCAAGAATAAGATGACTAAAAAAGTGATGGTGAGCTCTGTGTAGCTTTTACACACCATTTGACTGGTCTGTTAGAAAAGCATCCCACATCTTAAGAATGATAGGAGCAAGTACTCTATAAAAATGGTGGGACACCCTCAATTCCACTCTTTTGCAGCAAATCCTGATTGTTCTTTGACTTTCTAAGGGTCTGTGGCACGGGTGACACACTGTATGATGAAGGTCTGCTGGTATTTTCCGAACCAGACCAAACCGCTGTGGCCAATGCTGTTGGCCGGCTAGGCCAGCACCTGTTCCCAAGTAGATTTCCCTTCCCTGCCTCCCTCCTCAGGCTTAAAAAAAAACGCACTCCCAGAATCCTTTGCAGCTAGCTATGGTCCGGTGACATGTGTCACTCTGCCAAGGTGAAATCTGATGGTGTCTTTGGTTTCTTGCTTAAAGGGAAAAAAAAAGAAGCCGGTGCCACCTCTTTTCCTTGCTTTCCTAAGTTCAGAAGTGGTGTTTGAAGGGGAACTAGCCATTCTGTCACCATGGAAGAAGCTGATGCAAGCACTGGTGCAGAAGGCTTAACCCCAGATTTCCTGTTTGTGGGGAAAGCACTTCAACCAGCACTAACAGCCAGAGTTTCCTCACCTATATTCTTTAAAGAGCTCAAAATCATGGTAGAAAAACTATGGCCTTTTCAGTTTGTCACCAACCTATACTCCTCTCCTGCACTGCATGTAGATTTTGGCTCTTGGCATCTTGCTCTGGTATCGGCAGTAGAGTCTATGACCCTGGACTCCACATGCTGTATTCATGCATTCCTGCTCCTCATGTCCTATCATTTCTGTTGCTGTGTCTAAAAAACAACAACAAAACCATTTAAACCAAAACCAATAGAAGATTTAGATGATCATTCCTTGTGCAATTTCTGAGAGTAAATAAAATTTGGAAGTGTAGGATTTCTGTTACCTTTTGGGAGACACATTGTATACATCAGAATAATAAATCTTCTGAAAATTCATATGTGAGAAAAGAGAACAAAACAAAGAGAAAATCTTTCTTAGCTTCACTTCCCCCACCATATTCCAAACTTCGTTCACCACAGAATGCTGCCTATGCTCCTAATATCTGCAGAGGCAATTTTGTGTAAAATCAGTTCACTGGAGAACACGTTTTGGGAAGCCTGACTTTAGAGAGAAGGCAATGTCAGGAAAGCAGTCAGTTGTGGCTGACGGTGAGAACTGGGCCCTCTCAATAGGAAATGCTTTGGAGTGGCTTTGCATTGGCCATTCACTGATGTCTGCATCTCCAAAAATATTCTCTATTGAACCACTTAGGATGTGACCGAGCCTGATTAAAGAATTGCTTGGCTACAGTCTGCAAGTGTCACAGTTATACGCAGAAGACTGAGTAAGCCATAGGTAGAAAAATGCAGAGTGAGAATTTCCAACATGTTGCTGACCTTTTGTTAGTAGTTTGATTTATTCATTTTAACATAACGGTTCTGCCTTTCTCACACGTAATTTCCTAATAACCCTCAACATATCTGACACAAACTTGGAATTTTTTCTTATGTCCTCATGATAAACTCCAGGCCATGCATCATCCAGGTGTTACTGAGGCTGGAAATCCAGCCTCAGATTGCTCCTGTAGCTTATCCAAGGTCACAAGGCTGCTGTTTTCATGACTGAGCCTCCCACAGTAATGAACAGGAACTGTGAGGATGCTGGTGAATAAGGCAGAGCCTACTCTTGTCTGTTGATTTCCTTTCTTCTCTGGCCACAGAGTCAGCTGCAGCTCAGGGCAAGACCATTCCTCTTCTGCTTGCCTGATCCTCTGGACTAAAGTTGCAGCAAGGAACAAAGGAGCTGATTCCTCTATGTTGTCCATCTGAGCATCATTTCACAAGCTGGAGCAAAGGTCCTGGGCAGTCAGGGCAGGGCAGAGACTCCCTGAATGTGAAAAAAAGGAATATGCTTATCCCATATCTTTCTTTCTACAACTTCTGAGTTCTCCTTTGAGGCCTGTATCAGTACATTTTCTGTTGCTCTGTAAATATCTGAAGCTTCCTACTTTATAAATATGACAGCTTTCTTTTATTTTTTTTTAAATCAAAGTTTAAGAAGCTAAAGCTTCAAGACCGGGTGGTCTCAACTGTTGGACTTCTTAAAAAAAAAAAAAAAAACTCTATACACTGTTTATCACAACATGGCAGAAAAAATTTCACAGGGATCAGACATCACAAAAAAGCTGCATCGAAAGCATGGGATGGGCTGGTTTATAACAACCCACTTTCAAGAGAATTGAGTGACTCCATACCACCAGCATCAACCCCTTCTGGAACTGGTGCCCCAGTAACTAAGTGACTTAATGTAGCTGTGCTTCCCAGAGGATCCACGGTGCAGTACAGCCACACTGAGGCCAAGTTTCTAGTTCATGGCTGTGACAAACTACACCTAAACCAGAGTAGGAACACAAGGGACGTGGGGGAGGAAAGGAAGCACCCATTGCTGAGGAGGGAGTCCTAACAGAGTCTTTGGAGAGTCTGCCATCCTCCCCATCTTCCAGAAAACCAGAAATGAATGCCAAGACTTGGAAAAAGCTCTGGAAAGAGGCTCCTATCATAAGATGCTCTATCCTCATTCAGAAAGGCAAACAGGATGGACATCGGAAGAAGGTGAAAACAAGGAACAAGACAGGATCCTACAACAGAGGGCTTCTGAAAGACTCTACCCAGCAGGGTATTAAAGTGGATGCTGAGACTCATAGTCAAACTTTGGGCAGAGTGCAGAGAATCTTATGAAAGAAGGGGGAGATAGAAAGACCTGGAAGGGACAGGAGCTCTACAAGGAGAGCAGCAGAACCAAAAAATCTGGGCCCAGGGGTCTTTTCTGAGACTGATAATCCAACCAAAGACCATTCGTGAAGATAACCTAGAACCCCTGCACAGATGTAGCCTGTGGCAGCTTAGTCTCCAAATGGGCTCCCTAGTAAGGGAAAGAGGGGCTATCTGTGACATGAACTCAGTGGTTGGCTCTTTGATCACCTCCCCCTGTGTGTGTGTGGGGGCAGCCTTACCAGGCCACAGAGGAAAACTATGAAAGGCAGTCCTGATGAGACCTGATAGGCTAGGGTC